CTCACTCACTCAACTCATTAATGCCTTTGGAAAACAATGACTCTGTTACCCAACCAACCTGCCCCAACCCCATCTCTTAAGGGATCCATTGGCTTTCTTTTCTTTTCTTTTTTTTTTAAGAGTCATTTATTTGTACTGGAAAGTCAGATATACAGAGAGGTTGAGAGACAGAGAGGAAGATCTTCCATCTGATGGTTCACTCCCCAAGCGGCCGCAACGGCTGGAGCTGAGCCAATTCTGAGCCAGGAACCAGGAGGAGCTCATTCGGGACTCCCACATGGGTGCAGGGTCCCAAGGCTTTTGGCTGTGCTTGACTGATTTCCCAGGCCACAAGCAGGGAGCTGGATGGGAAGCGGGGCTGCCAGGATTAGAATTGGCACCCATAAGGGATCCTGGTGTGTGCAAGGCAAAGACTTGCACCGGGCCCGATCGGCTTTCAACACTACCACCCTGAGCACCAAGTTTCTTATTTATGAACATTTAGGAGCTGTGTTCAAACCACATCCGAATCATAACAAAGCCCAATGTGGAGCGGCTGCTGAAAAGGATCCCCTCTGACACTTCGGGCGTGTGTAGTGCTGAGACGCAACACATCACTCCACAATAGACATATCTTGGACTTGCCCAAAGACCCCATCCATAAGGTTACTGTAGCTTTCTTTTCCCATTGCAAATTTAGCGTAGACCCCATCAGCTAAATTTGGTTGCTTCACTGTCTCTGAAAGCACAATGAGAATTGGAGGTTGCAACTACTGTTCCTGTCCAGGAGCTAGGGGAATACATGATGGCAAAGAAAAGGTGGTAAGGATGGAGAGGGAAGGCCAGTGGAGATTTGGAGAGAAAGTGTGGTCTTCTTTAGCTCCTTGCTTGAGGGTCAATTCCTAAGCAGTATTCTTCATGACGTTCCAGGGTTAATGAGCACCCAGTCCCAGAGATCCCGTTCTTCCCAATACTCTGAGCCATCATCCCTTCATTCTTGGTGGTTGTTGTCACCTCTGTGCTCAGCATCTTATTCTCTAACAGGACAGAGTAGGATGATGACTTGAACTCCACAGAGCCGTATTTTGAGATTTTTCCTCTCCCAAGTCTCTGAGTACGTTTATATAGATGTGCCTGGTGTCTGTCTCCCCTGCAGACAGGAAGGCCTTACTTCCATCTTTAATGATAGTGGGGACTCTCTCACTCAGCAAAAATAGCTGCATTGCTTTTCTGTGGGCCAAAGGTCCTGCTGCCTCATTGTCATGGGAATATCCCTTTCTTGCTTCTGCCCGGAGGACTGAGTAACAGAGATAAATCCAAGGCACCATCTGACTACCTGCTTCAGTCAAATTTCTGGCTACTCAGATTCACTCATCAGAAGGTCAGAGGGAGGGCCAGTAACCCTTCGCTCTCACCCCTCCCTAATGTTCATCACTAGGGTGAGAACATTGGCTGCCACATGGTAAGGAATCTTCTCATATTTCTGAATCCATGTCACAATGATTTTGTTCTTCCTCATCTAACCATGTAGGTATGACATTGTGTTTGTTTTCGTCTACTCAATCTGTCCTAGCAAAATTTCATAGCCTTGGTGGCTTACAAACAACAGAAATTGATTTCTCATGGTTCTGGAGCCTGGGAAGCTATGAGGAGCATCATAACAAAACTTGTTCAAGAATATTTTTGCACATAAACCATTTTCTCAAAATGTGAAATGTCTCAGATATTAGCTGACATAATGTAATGTTTAACCTGTGTGTGAGACGTGTGAAACATGAGTTCATGAAATGTAATATTGTGTGTATTTTCTCCCCTTTGTGTGGGGAGCAACATAAAGTGATATGTCAAGTGTCACGTCTGTGAACTAGGACTTGGTGGTGATGTCATTAGGAGTGTGCACAGATAACGTTCACTGACCGCCACCCCCCAACCTCGAGTAGTCTGTAAGGGGGAGCAATGACAGGGACTGAAGACTAACCAACCGGCAACAAGTGCTGGAGAGACAGAGCCCAACGGATATAAAAAGGGGCTCAATGGGACAGGGCCTGCTGCTCTCAGCTAGCTCAGGAAGGAACCAGACTGTGTCTCAAGTGCAACGAGCGGGACTGAAGAGAGAGCCTAGCAGCTCTCAATCACCACCTCACCTCAGAGATGACTGCCTCTGCTTGTCTCTGCGACTCTATCCAGGGAACAAAGTGTGATGGCCTCAGGGCACAGCCTCCTTCCTGAGAGGAAGAGGCCTTCAGGTGGAGATTCAGGATGGGATGTGCGTGAATTAGAAATGTTAATTGGAGTTACCAAAGTAATTTCTTTTTTTAAATTCATTTTTTCCATGAACTTTTAGAAGGGTACCCATTATTCAGCCCACATATTCCCCTTGAGTCTATTACTCCATTTCTTCTTTTTTTTTTAATATTTATTTTTTTAATCAATTACATTGGATTATGTGACACAGTTTCATAGGCTCTGGGATTACCCCAACCCCTCCCCGTGCCCTCCCCCATGGTGGATTCCTCCATTTTGTTGCTGTATTACATTTAAAATTCAGTCATGATTCTTTCATTGCAAATGTATACCAAGCATAGAGTCCAGCATCTTATTGTCCAGATAAAATCAGTGGTTTCTTGGGGAGACCATCTCTGGTCTGAAGGCAGAGCTGGCAGAATATCATCCCGATCAATTTAAAACCACAACATAACATCAACAACCATTTACAACATTATGGAATTAATTGACATGGTATTGAGTAACCAATATGTTAAAAAATGCAAGTTCTTAACTACATCCTGTGACTACTTCATTGACATTTCAATTTTTGTTTATACACAGAACCGGCTGCTATACACCTTAAAAGGGCTATAGTATACTATTCAGCTGTCTCGTATCTATTTTCATTTTAGTATTTAGCAGTTTATAGTGCTAAAGCATAATTTTGCTGAACTTGGCAGATTTTAGGATAGTCTAAACTGGCTTATAACTCTAACAAGACCTATGTCAACAATTGAGGTGCAGAACAGTTTTAGGAGGGGTGTGCAGAGAAATCTTCAATAACATTAGTGAGGCTATTACTCCATTTCAAAAGAGCGCTGCACCAACATGTGACTGGTGAACTGGCTATATTAGCAGATACTATATGAGTGAGTGATGGTAAATCCAGACATAAAAGCTGGCTTTTCTAGCTACCTAACTGCTGGAGTCCAGCTCCAGCTGAGTTCGGAGCTCGGGAAGGGTGCGTGGAGTCAGCAATAAAGAAAGACACAGACACTTGGTGCATTCTCACACCAGCCCAAGAAAAAGCTGTCCTTTTTATTTACTGAAACATCTCACAATCTTCTGCACAAGCAACTAATTATTCTATTTTTACTTCAAGATGGGGGGGCATCACATTTGATCACTCCGTCTGCACTTCAAAGCTAAGCACGTGCCCCTAAAGACAATTCTGCAAGATACTGTATTCATATTCTTCAAAGCAAGCCATTATTTATTCTTCAACAGTAGCCATGGAGCAACAGCCAGGACTCCAAGGCCAAGGCACATGCGATTACCTGCTAATCAGTAGTACATTCCCATCACATTTCTATTTCTACAATTTAGCCATTATTTAATGGGAAAATAGGTTACAAGGGAAAAACCTAAAATCTAAAACAGAAACTTCAAATGTTAAAATCCCCTACAACTATAGACTCCTACAACCCCATAAACAATAAGACAATAATCAAAAGCATTTTTCTTTAATAAAAGCATCCTTAATTCCTCTAGCTAAAAATTCCTCTAGCTAAAACAATTATATTTTCTAGGCTCCAAAAAAATTGCAATGGCAGGCTAGCCTTTGAGATAACAACTATATTTATTGCCATAGCAGTTTCAGCTCTCACTCCCATCACTTGCATTAGTATTTAAGACATATATATCAAGCCCCTTCCCAGAGGGTGTGCTATATGTCTGGGCCCGATTTCAGGGCAATGGGTAGGTACACAATAAGGTGTCCAGAAATGGCATGGGCTTAATTGTACTCCTGTGCACAGTTAAAGACCCACTCGCCAAGACATTATCAATAACATTAACTCTCAAGCTCACGTTGGTGGTAAAAGCCATCCCACAGGGGCAAACAATGCCTCAATAAACAAAGCACTCAATAGGGTGCTTGAGTGACCATGCAAACAGGGGGTGAAGCAGTGTCAAGGTGGTCAGAGAGAAATCGCTGGGCCCTTGCCAAACAGCTGGAAACTCCCCCGGGCCTTGCCACACAGGGGAGCTGTTCTCTTCACACCTTCGTGTTATTCACACCTACTGCACAGACCCTAGCACCTAACTTTTAAAGCTAAGAACAAAGAAAATCAGAAAAAAAAATTTCCATTCTGAGATATTTATAATACCTTTCAAATAAAAATAAATGAATTTTAAAAATTAAAAAATAAAAAAAAATCTGTTTCTTTTTCTCCAGAATTTTTGCATCAGCATCTGCCAGTGAGGAAAACTCATCAGAAGCTTGGAGGGTTGAAACTAAGTGGCACTCTTTCCTTTGTGGAAGATGACAGCATTAAATAGCACTTTTTCCTATCTCCACAAGGTCCCTTCTAAACATTGTGTCTGATGCACCAACTTTACAACCTCTTTGTAAATTATTAGTAATTGAGTGCAATCACAATGACAAGATACGGTAACTTTCCAGAGATCCCCACATCAATCAGCAACTTCTTTCATCTTCTAATGGTTTAGTTGGATATCCTCTAGTTGCAGCTTTAAATATTTGCATCTTCTTTTCACATACTTAGAGAACTCCTAATTCCTAATACATCCTTTCTATAATGCATGTAGGGGCACTTTTCCTGACTGAATTCAGGATGATGTGACTTTTATGCACGCATATCCTTGATCACTCAGGACAGCCCCAATTTCTGTTACATATATTTTTAATGCATTGATGAATACATGACATCTAAACTATCACTATTCCTAAAAGCAAAAACCAAAACCTGAAAATATGTGGAAGTAGTATCTTCTATTAATTAGTAGTACAAATGATGTACTAGTATTCATAATCAACTAAAGCTTTAGGCAGCCAAGAGAGCCAAGCTACTTAACAGTTTGTTTTATGTTCATAAAATCCAGTATTAAATCAGTGACACAAGAAAATGAGTTTATCATGCTAACTTCTCTAGACACGGAGGAACTTTAATTGCTTATCTAAATCAAAGACGTTGTTCTAGAAAGGTAGTATATTATATGACTGCACTTCTATGACATTCTGAAAAAGCAAAATTGTAGGCAATAAAAAGAGAAGTGGTTCCAGACATTCAAGGGAGAGGGAGGGAAAAGTGGCAAAACTCAGAGGATTTGAAGTAGTGAAACCATTATGTCTTAACGACAGATACACTGCTCACGTGTTAAGACCCTCACAACCTTATAACACACACTGAATATTGCAGTTCCACTGCAACTGAAATATTACAAGCAGGATATCTGGCAAAATGTTAACATGATAATTGGGACTCCTGACTCTCTGCCAGGGTTCAACTCCCAATTCCAGCATTCTGTTGAGGCGTACTCCTATCAAGGGTGACGGCTCAAGCACTTACATCCCTGCCACCTCCCTGGGAAGCCCATACTGAGCTCACTGCTCCTGGATGCAGCCTGGCCCAGCCCTGGTTGTTGTAGACATGTAGATATGAGTTCTTTCTCTTTCAAATAAATGAAAATTTAAAAAAAATGATAAAAATCATTTAGAGATCCAAGGGAAAAAAATGCAAGGCGTGAGAGGAAAAGTGCTGATCTAAATAGCTGAGAATAAAAGGAGTAAGTTAAAACCAAAGTAACCGGCACATAAGCACTCTGTTCAGATTGGTAAAGATATTTCTCACTTAATCCACCTCAAAGACTTGTTAGGATTAATTTCTTCTGTGCTTAGAAAAAAATGCCTTAAAATCTGTCTATGACAGTATTATTTTTTTTGTGAAACATCATTTTGGAATTTAGAAAACTGTTATAATTGTTTATGGAATAAAAACACCAAAAGCAATTTCTTCAAAGGTAGTAAACAGGCTAAATTCTCAACAATCCTCAAAACTCATCAGACTCCATTTCCACATCTGGTTGATTCACACACAGTTCTTCATACAACCTACTATTGTTTTGACTAATATCAAGGAGAATGGACTTTGTAGTAGAGCCAAATTCAACGATACTGGAAAACCCAGGTTGGTACTTATGTTCAAAACCAGCAGCGTGGATGGCCACCAATGTACCATTTGAATCAAACACCGGGGAACCAGAAGATCCAAAATAAAAACAAGTATCATAAGTGATTACATCAGGATCGCCAATTATTTCCTGGAAACTTCTTTGAGTGTACAGATGGAGAAATGACAGACTGTAGTCGCACTCTTTCATTTTCCTATCCTGATCACAATCCTGCCATTTCTTTTCTCGCTCAGCCTGAGGGATCACAGCACAAGCATCAAGCTGTTTTTTTTCTCCATTTGGATGGCCAATAATATATACCAACCCACTAAGTGGTACGGGAGCAATTCCATTATACAGCCCTGCAGGTATGGGTCGTCCATTTTCTTTCAGTTTCAGAATCGCATAGTCGAGATTGCCATCAGATATTTCAAACCAAGGCTCAACGCGAAAATGGTTCTCTTCTCTCTCATGGAGCTGTTCATAACCAAATGTCACCCTTACACACTGACCAAGGATGCCTGGCCATTCACTTCGTTCTATTCCTTCTTCCATAATGCCTCGGATTACATGTCCACAAGTGAAGATAAATGGTCCTTTAAAAACAAAGCAGGTGGCACAACCCTCTTTCCCATTGTTGTTATAGTACAGGTACCCAACGGAGTCACTACGCTCTGCAAGAAGTTTGATTAATGTAACTGGAGTAGAGTTTTTGGTCACTTTTCCGAAGTTGGTTCTATGTGAGTTAAATAATGCTTTCCCTGTTCTTTTTTTGTTTCTTTTCTTTAAGTTTTCTTTGATCCTTTCACTTTCACTTTTCAAACAGGGGTACTGGTTCAAAATTTCCTCATTTGACACACAAGTGTTTCTTTGCTCTGATTCAGAATTTTGAGGAGCTGCTGCTTCAGAGCCCGTTTTATTCTCAACCTCAACCTGAAAGAGTTTGCCCTCTAATTCATCAACTGGCTGTGTGTTTTCATAAACGGAGTCCAGATTATTAATGAGCTTCCAATTGTCATTTTCCAGAAAGGAAAGAAATCTACCATCTTTGCACAAAGCGTCCTTGATGGTTTCTCCTTTAAAAGCATAGACACAGAGTATGGAGCCTTCTTTGTGAAGTTCCCCACGTTTAACAATTCTGGTTTTCTTCTTCCCAACTGCATGAACACGAAACTTAACACAGTCAGTAGGGGCTTTGTCATGCCGGACAAATACTTGGTCGCCTTCTTTCTGCTTACTTTTGGAAAATGTAATTTCCACATAGCTTTCTTCAGGAAAACAATGGAGGGGCATTCCAAGATTGATGTACCCCTCGATTCCTTTTGTACCACGCACCAACATTTCTTTGCCTTCTCGAGTTTCTATCTCTTCCTTCACTGCCTCTAGGGTGTTGAGTGCCACATACAGGCTGTCGGCTTTACTGTGTGTAAGCACATATTTCCTGCCTTTGTTTTTCCTCTGGTTTACATTCAAGGTAACGTGAATTGTCTTATATTGGAGTGTTGTTTGTTCTCCTTGAGTTTTCTTAGGTGAATGGAATTCTTGAGCTGGGGTGTTGGTTATATCTTTTAGATGCTTTTTAGATTCCATCTTCCTTTGAGAAATGTTGCTTCCATTCTGTTCTTCAGGTTTCTAAAACCAAATGTTAGATACTTGAAAATTTCAAATGCAACCTTAGTCTTTTGTTTCTCTTTTCAATACGTGATCTGCAGAATCTTTATGGGAAACTCATACACCCAAACTTGACATGACATCTGAAATATAAGCTGACCATCTTGTCACATAAGCCAGATATACTCTTGATAGCAGTATAATAGTGCAGTTTTCTAAGCAATACAATGGAAGAAAGACATTTTTCCCAGATGCTTATAAATCTACCAGTTCTTATAATGATATTTTGGGTCTTACTGTTTTTATACAGATACAATTTTCTTTGTTGTGCTTAGTGATGGATTGTACTGAAACATTTTCTCTGAAAACATCAAATTCAGCTAGAATAAGTTGCCATGATTTATTATCAGGCATTAAATGTATAAACCATCATTAGTTAACTAAGTATTTGGTTATAAAAAATACAGTTGTTTCTGAGGCATGCTTTTAGCGCAGTGGTTAAGATGTCAGGAAACTTGTATTCCGTATCTGAGTGGCTGGGCTCAACAGCCTGCCCCACCTCCTGACTACGGCTTCCCATGAATGCACACTCCGTGGACAGCATGGATGGAGTGACAGGCTCCTGTCACCCAACCAGGAGAGCTGCATGGATTTTTCAATCTGTGCTCAGCCCTAGCTATTGTACACATTTAAGGAGTGAACCAGCAGACAGAAGTGCTGTCTCCTGGTTTCTGCCCCATTAAATTAAAAATTTAAAAATATAGATATTTCTCATAAGTTCCTTGATTCACACAGCATCTATAATGCAAACAACTCAAATGATTTCTTCTAGCACCTCAATTAATTCTCAAAGCCAATCAGATGAGGAGGAACAAATATGATCTCTGTCCTTTTAATGAGGCACACAATGTTTTTCTTATAAGTGCATTCCTGACACAATAAATAATACATGAAGAGTGAAGTATCAGAAGTTCCCTACTTAGTCCATTATTGTTTTGAGTATTCTATATATTTTTTAGTAAATTTTCATTTATGATTTCTTTTTCATACAGTACGCTTCAAGAACCAGAGGTGGAAGAAAGCAGAGAAATTCGATAAAGAAGATGAATAAAGTAGCAAAAATTTAAAGAAAAATTAAGAATATTCAATTTCTACACCTCAAAGGAACATTTTCTTCACATCATATTCATCATGGCAGCAGTGTCAACAGACAAGGATTCACATGGCAAATGCCACTAAGTGCTCAGAGGAGCAGCAACAAGAACTGTTAGAAGCTTTTATGATATAAAATGGTAATGGCTTTGTGTTTTTCCCCATAATTTACTATGTTAATATTTGACATGTTTATTATTACTTAGGAAGCATTACAAATGCTTTTTGTTAACGAGTACTCTGATATGGTCAGGATTTGTATTATGACCCCCTTCCCTACCAGCACCCCATAAAAACAAAAAGAATACAATGAATAAAAAAGATTTTAATTTACACATAGTCCCAATACACATAAGAGAAGCCTAGTACCAGGGATGGCTGAAAGGAATACTGATATGGGTTACAAATAATGATTACAGACATACCTGACCAAAAAACTGCTCAATTTTCATATTCTTCTTACAATCACGTAAGTTCTTCTTTGACATACGCCTCTTCCGGTTCATGATGGCTTTGAAGAGGAACGGATGCTTCCACTGAAATACAAACTTCAAATAAGCTTCCTGTTCTAACAGTAGCTTCACATTTGCCATTAGCTGTACACAGGAAAAGATGAACTTGTAATCTATATGCTGCTCTCCCCTCTCATCTCTAGCCTTTCTCAACCTGCAGACATTAACTTCACAAGACGACAGTTTGCCCCCCAACTAAACTCCCTTCTGCAAAAACAGTCTAACAGGGCACTGTGTGCCAAGAACTACACCAACACATTTTTTGAAAACCACCTGCAATTGTCAGCATCTAAGGATACCAAGGGAAGTGGGCATGTCTGCAGTTTGTGGATGTGGAAAAGCACAGAAGACAAAGTATTTGTCCACCATTACCTTCCAAAGATGAAATTCAAGTGCCGGTACACTCAACCGAGGAGTTTACAGATGGAGAATTCAAAGGTGTGTCCTGCTTGCACGCTTCTTAAACTCTGGTCTCTGTTTAAGACAGGGATGGCAAGCAAAGGCAAAATTACAGGAAAAGAGTGAGAAAAGAACTGGGCAGTACCCTGAAATCATCGCCTGTTCTATGGTTTTTAATAAACTACCTTATGATTCTTACATAACAGAGGTATCACTGGTTTACTAGTTTTACTAGTAAGGAACTATATGGACTGCTTTAAGTTTTACTTCAGAGAGTATACCTTTGAGAATTTTTATTACAAACAGAAAAAGAGAATGGTATGATGAACCTCCACCTATCTAATCACAGGATTAATGATAATTCTTTATTTTTCAAATTTACACCATTTACAAATTTAACCAGAGACATCATGTCATTTTGACCACAATGATCATTTTCCACCTCTAAAAATGACTTCACAATAGATAGCCATCATGCTATGTCATTCACACCCAAATTCAAATGAAATCGTTTTCTTCATTTGTGCCTTTAAAGTTTTTTTAATCCTTGCGTAAAAAACATAGATTTGTTGAAGAGAGCAGAGATGTTGACTGTGGAATGTCTACCTCGTCGTCAGTTCCTTCTCTGTGTTGCAGTGTAACTTACACTCTAGCCCCTGAAGTTCTGATCAAGAGGATGTTACGTAAAGACAAGGTTTATTCTCTCAACCATTCTACCACGGGCGGGAATCTGGGCTTTCACAGCCACTGGTAACCAGCTACTAAGGAAATCCCCACTGCCTCTAAGAATCTTAAAAGAAGGAAATGATTCTAAATGAGGTAATGTGGTTGAAACTGCTGATCCAACATTGACCATCTGGGTGAAAATATTATGTTGCAACCTTTTAGCTTCACAACCTTGTATATAGTAACTGATGATTAGTCTGCTTTATTTTCCTCATCCTAAGATGGGAGCGGCACTAGCAACAACCACCATGGTTAGGCAGATCTGAAAATACAAACAGAACTGAAAAACTTACAAAAACAGCTGGGACACAGCTGGAGATTTCCCAGCAAATATTACTACTGTTACTATTATCGATAGCAATACACTTACCACGGCGATAGTTTCTAAACAGCAGAGACCCTGTGTAGACAAAGGCGGTTATAGAATTGAGGAGGTAGGATCTTAAAGGGATCCTTGAAGGAAGGCATAGCTGGGGATATTTGGGGTGCCTGTTGACTCATGTTACAGAGCTTGATTAAAAGACACAGAAGGTAAAATACAGTAGGTAGAAGGGAAAATGAATTTTCCAGTCCAATAGCGATTACAACAGTAAGGAACGATTAAGAAATGAAAGGCACTAGCCCATTCATTACCACCTCTGCTCTCTGTTTGCAGACGCCAGGGTTTGCCAGGGTTTTTACTGATAGGAAGGACTTGCTTGACCTATAGGAAAGGGATGAGGCAGCGCAGCCCGCCCCAGGGGGTCTTCCCCAGCCCACCTGACCGCCCCCCTGGCACCAATCCCTCTTCCTTCCACCCCTTCTTTTGCTTCTCCCCCTTCCTCTCCAGGCCTAAACCAGTAGTCCAAGCCCACGACTCCACCCTTCCCAGTATAGAGAAGGCCAAGAAGCAGCTACTGAAGTACAATCTGCATCTTGCTGTCTGGTTAGACATTTCCTTCTGGCCTAGGCCCAGGGATCCCCGTTCGGTTCCAGTCGCGGAGGCTGCTGGCCACACTCGCCGATTCCGCTGGGTGATTTGCACACCAGCAGCAGCTGAACTCAAATCTGATCCCCCTCCTCTCTTAGTGGAGGAGACCATGATGACTTTCTGAGCTCCACAGGAATGCAGCTATACTGTTCTAGCCAGCAAGTGTGTGTACCCACGTAAGCTCTGGGCAAGTGGGCATAAGGACTTGAAAAAAAAACATCGCCTGCCTTTTTAGAAACTGCTGTGGGACTGTCTTTGTGGAGACTTTCACTTTCGTCCCCCCCCCACTCTCACCACATTCTCTTCCAAAACCTCGTCATTCATTTCCGCTTCAGTCGTAAGAAAACCCTGAGTTGCTGCACCTGCCGCGATTTAGCCAAACCTGTTCTCTTCTCTCACAGACGCGATACACTTTACACACTTTGACAAAGACAAACGCAAGTTTCCAAGTAATAAAACAGAACTGTACCAAGCCTAACCCGGTGGACAGTGGGCAGTTTCCCCCATGCCCAGCCGTTTTCTTCCCCCAAATGCCAGATCAGTCCCAAAAGCAAAGGGGTAACTCACGTAACAGCTGAGTTCGCCCACCACCAAAGACGTCTCTAGCCAGCACCTGCTGCCAATATGAGCGTCTTCCTTCCAGATTGAAAAAGCCTGCGCTTGGAGAGCTGACTCCGCCCAGGGAACAGCGGCGACTGGCCAATGGAGAAGCCTGAAGTCCCCGGAAGGCGATTGGCTGCTCTTCTGGAAGATTCTAGCCGGCTTAGGTCGGTTTGGGCTGGCCCGGACTGGTTAGAGAGCGCGCGGGCGCCCAGTCGCGGAAGTGGGTGGAACCGGGAGTGGCACACTGCAGGCATCCCGATGCCAGCGCGCTGGAAGTCAGGATGGGGAGATTCCCGGTAGGCAGTTCCTGCGTGGAGATGAGAGTTGAGGAGGAGCCGGTGAAAGCCGGCACGCTGGAGCTGTCAAGGCTGGGCTGAGTGTGGACAAGAGGGCTGCAGCGGTTCTGGCGCTTGCCGGGAAGGGAAGTAACATTCCCCAGCAGACAGAGCAAACCCCAAGGAGAACCAGGGGCGCATGGCACGCCCTTGCCGCAAACGGACATGACCAGCAAAGGGAACCGGTTATTCCAACTACACAGACGTGAGATCCGTGCATCCTAAAAGCAAAAGTAACAGCTGCAAATCGTTGTGAAATCTAAAGTGCTGGATGTATTCCATGAGGATACAGGAATAAGTCAGTCTGGGAAGGGTAGAATCAGGAGAGAGAGCAGAGCTGGGCTCATTTAAAAAGCGGGTGCAATGACAATGATTCCAGATTGTAAGCATGGTGAGTTTCTCCCTTGGTCTTTTCGGTGACGTTGCTCAAATCTGTCAGCCCGGTCTCTGTCTGCAGCGCTGTCCTCTGAGCTCCAGGTGTCAACATTTTGTGGACTGATTGGCGTGGATTCCTGGATGCATGGAAGGCGTGCACTGTTACGGACCCAAATCGTAGCGCTTGGTGTTCCTCGTTCCTTGCAAGTATACTCCACTTCAAAATGGAGTTGCTTAACTCCAGGCTAAATTCATACCCATCTTCATAGGGTGCTACTGCCAAATATGCTACAAAATACTTTTACAAGCTGGCACTCTCACCCACAGCAAGTGGGAGTTTTGTTACTTTATGCCTGCATCAGAAATTTTTAATGTGTAAATTTTAGTATTTGTCAACTGTGTGTGTATAAAATGGCTTTCTTTTTTTGGTGATTAGAGTAGTTTTCTAGCTGCTAATGGGGACTGAATCCTCTCTCATGCTTCAGCAGGCTGTTCTATTGGATTCTTTTTCTTTTTATGAATTTATTGACTACATTAAATATATATTCCAGAAACAAATCTAGATGTATTAAATTCTGAGGTCCCCCCACCCCCTGTTCTTATTAGGTGTCGTTAAAGAAGGATCTTTCTTTCTCTCCTCTTGGTTAGGTTTATTTGGTAAAGTAAATTGTAAAATAAAATCGGCAGCAAAAATAACTGAGGATCTTGCTTGAGAGTAAAATCATTACAGTTAGAGATGCATCGCAAAAATCCTCTCATTACTTTCCTTTTGCTGGAATTTGGGGATGGGAAAGCTTCCTGACAAACAAACAGGAGGTCTCTAAAGTTAAGAACTTTCCCTGCAGCAGACTTGCTGCTCTTACTGATAGGTTTAATTGAATTGTTAATTTGAAAGTTCTTACTCTTAAATGTGTTAAGTACTCTCATCTCAGAAGTGGAAAAAAAAAAAGTTGACAGGGCCTTCAACTGGGGTGGGGCGTGGAGGAGGGGAAAGCAACAGTACAAACTTGGCTAGCGGGAACAACAACAGGTGAAAGAAGGAAAATAAAAAAAGAATGGGAGCGGGAAGTGAGAGCAGTAAAATTACACCTAGTAAAGCTGCGAAGACCCCATGCATTGCATGACACAAAAGCATAATCCTGTTTACTCTTACCATGAGGCGTAGAAATAAGCCACATATTTTATTATTTTCCCCAAGAAGCATACCATTTTCAAACGTGTTAAAGCAACAGTGCATTGATTTCGATTCTAGGCATGTTTCAATATGCCACATACTGTTGTGAATTATCAACAAAATGCTGTACAGCCCCCTGGAACTTGTTTATTTTAGCTAATCAAAACTTACTAGCTTGACAAATATTTTCTTATCTCCCTTGCCACCTCTGCTTCTGCAGATCTGATTATTTTAGATTACTCTTTTAAGGGTATTTTCCACATGATGCTGACTTCATAATGTAAATTAATCATTCTTTTCTCTGTATGTTAAAAGCCATTGTGCATCTTGACTTAGTATCGTCATTTGCATATCGTTTAAAGGGAAGCCTATGTTTCCTTGTTTCACACATAAAGCTGATTTTGCATGTTTTGAATTAAATAATACACCAATTAAAAACTGATCTGCAAAGTCTGACTTGAAAGCCTTAAGTAACTTAGGCTTCAGTTTCTTCACTTGCAAAATATGGATGATAATAATACCTAGTATATTAAGTTTTATTAACTACTAGAACAGATAATGCATGTAAAATAATTCTAGGTACTCTTTTCCTGGAATTTATTGTTTCCAGTAAATATCAGCTGTTTAATTTTTGCCCGACTACTTTTCTTTTAAAGATTTATTTTATTTTTTTGTTGCAAAGTCAGATATACAGAGAGGAAGAGAGACAGAGGAAGATCTTCCATTGGATGGTTCGCTCCCCAAGTGACCAGCCTGGAGCCTCATCTGGGTCTCCCATGTGTGTGCAGGGTCCTAAGGCTTGGGCCATCCTCGACTGCCCTCCCAGACCACAAGCAGGGAGCTGGATGGGAAGTGGGAATGCCAGGATTAGAACCGGCATCTATATGGGATTCCGGCACATTCAAAGCAAGGACTTTAGTCGCTAGGCCACCGTGCCAGACCCACGACTACGTTTCTAGTGATGTTAAGTATCCATCAATTGCACTGTTAATTCATAGTCTTAGTATTTTGCATTTAATAAGCACTTAGCTATATGATTTCCCCAAATATATTCTAGACAACACAAGAGAAAGGATTATAACCTTTTTTTTTCCTTTAACAGTGTGTTACCTGGGCCTGGAGCTGTATGTAGCCTAGTGACTAAATCCTCACCTTGCATACACTGGGATCCCATATGCTGTCAATTCATGTCCTGACTGCTCCACTTCCCATCCAGATCCCTGCTTGTAGCCTGGGAAAGCAATTGAGGACGGCCTAGAGCTTTGGCACCTGTATGGGAGACCTGGAAGAGGCTCCTGACTCCTGGCTGTGGATCAGCTCAGCTCTGGCCACTGTGGCCATTTGGGGAGGGGCGGGGAGCGATGAAGCAGTGGATCTTCCTGTCTCTCCTCTTTGTAAATCTTCCTTTCAGATAAAAAAAAAATTTTTTTTTAAATCTTAACAAACTAAAAAGGAGCGTGTTGCCTTCCAAAAGCTGCGTGTGGTGGTAAGAGTGTTGGTCCCACGAGGATCGCTAAAGCATAGCTGTACTTTCAACATTCCATACTCTTTCAGCAACACCAAATGCCCTGTGTTCTATAGTCCTGATGCAATTCTTGACGAATCCAGAGTGTAACTGGCGTCTACTGTCATCAGTGGTGGAGAAACAAGGTTTGGATTTATTCTTCCTCCTGAAATGGTAAAATAATAGTAATAATTAATAATAATAATAATAATACAACGTTCAGACTCAAGACATCAAGCACCACTGGGCCATGGTGTCTCATCCCCGAGAGGAAGTGAAACAAGACAAGCCCTATGACTGTCCAGTTACTACGGAGGACTCTGTAGCTATTACAAAGCTACTAGACTTCTGTTAGTGTCCTTGCCAATCGCCCACTAAAGGCTTCCACGCTCTTCCGGGATCAGAAAAACCACTGCCCAAAGGAGCGAGTTTGTCCCATCCCCGCCGGTAACGTACAGGGACTTTCAAAAGCCGCGCTCTACGCTGCCCACAGGAACCTCCTGCCAGACGGACACTCGCTGCAGCCAGTGGGCAAAGAGCTTTGTGCTCGGGCTGGTTGTGGGCGGTACTTACGCCATAAGAGCCGCAGGGGGACAGCGCGATCGCTCCTGGGTCCAGAGCCTGGCCCGGCGGGTGTGCGCCCACCCACCCACACTATTTCTTCGCCCGACGCGACTCGGGTGTCATCAAGCCCTGTCCCCCTCACTTAGTTCACGACCCCCTTCTGCGTCCGGTGATGAGCTTTGAGCAACCAATTCCGTCGACTCCGCCAGATGGCTGTCTGGGCCCCTGGGTGGAGGGGTGCAGTCTTGCAGGAATGGGAGGCACGCAGAGGCGTCGCGCCTCCCTGGGTTCGGATTCCTCCGCTCCCACCGCAGCCTGCTCCTTCGGTGGGCTCTGGCGGGGGTCTTGGCGCACTTCGCAGATGGACCGACTTCCAGGGACTCGCGGAACTGAGGGACTGCCAGCTCGAGTTAGGCATCCTCATACCGGGGATCTAAATGCTTTACATTGGCTTGATGCTTTCAGTTGTGGATGCTATATCTGAGAAGTCGATCAAAGGGAAGAACACAGGCTCGACAGAGGGGAAGGAGGTGGCAATTGCTTCTGTGACTCACAGAAAGCATGTTTGTGTAAAAGTTGATGGTGTGTTGGGTCCATCACGAGTGCTTCTCCTTACCCGAGGTGAAATACACACAGAGCTGCTATCCCTCCAATTGTCCGTGAGAACTCCTGCAGGGGGTCACAGCTTGTGCATCAGCAGCCGTGTTTCCAGTGTTCCAGGCAAGGTTTCCTTGCAACACTGAACTCGGAGGAAGCTGAACTATCTGGCAACGAGAGAAGCTGCAAGAAACCAGTTTGAGTTGGACTGTTAAACATGCAACAAGATGTCTGTGGCTGGAAGCGGGAGAGCTCTCCTGCGCTCCCGCACCCCCACAGGATAGGCAGATTTCTGCATTTAAAGTTGCAGTCAGCATGTTCTGGGAATATGCGTTCTGGGGCTTGCAATGGGATGTGCAAAGATGCAGAAGTGGTGACATTTTCTCCCAGGAGCTCACAGCGGGCTCACATCATTCACTCCTGCAAACAGATTGCTCCCAACTGAGGTCCCGAGCTTTCCAGCAACTGCCCTGCGGGGAGGGTGTCCGCCTAGAAACTCAGGAAGCTAAAAGTGTTCTGTATAAATCCCAAGTCCACCTGGCCTACGAGTGCAATGAGCTCGCAGGACAGGTAATGCCAGCCTGCCTGAGCTCCACGAGCCTCAAACAGGAGTCTGCTCACTTTCTGTCTCTGGAATGAGAAAAATCCATTAAGCCTGGTAGACAAGCCCAGGACCCAGATGCAGGAGAGCTGGGCGTTTCAACTATGCAAGTCAGATTACAGCATGGATGGGCCACGTGGCTGCATTTTCCATCAGCTCCTAGTCCCAGAAAAGCAGAGCTTGTGGTTGGCTCCTATAATGTCACTGGACCTTTGCAATATGACTTTTACCTCCATTTCACAGTTTAGGAAACAGTTAGTTTGCCAGAAGCCAGCTGGGAGCTGGAGCGGGTGGAATTTTAGCAATCAAGCTGCATAGTCTTAGTACCTCAATTCTGCAAGATTTAGGTGATGGAGTAAGTAAGAACTGAATTCTGCAAGACTCTCATGGGTAGAGAAGATCATTTACAAATTAAGGAGGTCTGCTAGTTTGTGATTTCCCGTCCACTTGTTCTTGACAATCACTGGGGTAGGTTATTATCATTATCATTATTAATGTGATATCTGGGAATCAAAACCAAGACATTTAAGCTTGGAAGTTCTGGGTGCAACCGAATCATCTGCATCTTTGATGAGAATCCTGGCCCAGCACTTCATGAAATCTATGTCAAAACGCACCTTCTCCAGTTGCATTTCCAGAAACTCTGATTCTATGGTTTTAGGATGTGGCACGGTAATGCGCCTTTCTTAAGAGGCAATAGCAGGGCTTGGCATGGTGGCCTAG